TCACTTTAAGTGCTCTAAGGCCTGCCACAGGTATTCCACATTTCTGGATGTGTTAACACCTGCTCCTCTCACCATATGTAGTGGTTTTTCCCACTGGCTTGTATGTCACTAATAAGCCCATGAGAGGAGTGATTGTGTGCGGCAGGGGTAGCAGTTATTTGACCCATCGAACAGGTTAAATACCTGCAGTGAAGGGCCTGCATTTCAAGACATGGGCCACCAGAAAGGTAAGTATAGTGCCTCTTCGTTTACATGCCAGGCATTTTTTGCAAGGGACCCTGTGTTGACAGGGTAATTTTAAAGAGACAACACACGGGGAAATATGCATGTATTGCAAAGATGCACTGATTATATATGAGGCTGATATAGAATGATACATTTTAAAACATCTAAAATGAATATCTCATATCAATGAGCTTTCCAAATCCAACTCCATAGGCTACTTACAGGGTTAATTGGAGAAATCCAAAAACTGGACTCAACAGTGGTTATCAGTTTAATATCACTAGCTTTTTATTTGATTGGGTGTACAGTAATCACATTTCAACGTTGTGAAGAACAAAAAATCCCCAGGTAAACTAGAAAACATTTTTATAGATTCTTACTGTCTCCTTTTCTTATGATATTGATTTAGGCCTTGTCATGCATTTCTCAAACTGAATGCTAAGTGGAGAAATCTGCCTTCATTATAACCTTATGACCAGTCTCTGGGTTGTAAAAAAAACTAATCATTTTTACATTCCTTTAAATGTATCTAACCAAAATAAAACTCCTGTCTCACAATACTTGTAATTGGTGTAGCTAAATGCATATGAAACAGCACACGCATGCATGATGAGCTCTGTGCTTTTCTAGTCAATAACGTTGAAGCTGCAGAGAAACTAGTACCATTGACTACAATTGCACAGATCTCACCATGTATTGTCTCTCCACTTTCACATGCATGATGAGCTCTGTGCTATTATAGTCAATAACTCTGAAACTGCAAAGAAACTAGTACTATTGACTACAATTGCACAGATCTCCCCATGCATTGTCTGTACACTTTCACAGGCATTTTACTGTCCTAAAACAAATGTAAGTGGGGCCTTTAAGCAATGACACTTGAACTGCTGGAAGACTTTTCAGATATTTAAAGAAGAACTCGGGGCATAATTATTCCTAACCCTTACAGTGGGGCTACCCCAACACTGCAAGGGTTAAGTGCACATGTTCATCTAGGGACAATAATAACAAATATATAATCATCTAAACCTCGCAGCCAGCTCGCTGTTAGACAGGTTCTTGCTGCCTCACTCACCCCCCTCTCCAGCAGTCTAAGGTCCTGTGAGTCATCATATCCACTACAGCGTATAGGATGTGAGGATGCCGAAGAAGATTCCATTGCTGGTGCAGAAGAGGAGACAGGCTGCAGGGACTGGAGTTGCAGCCTGTCAGTTACGAGGTTCAGGTGAGTATAGCTTTTTTTAATATTTGTCCCTAGACGAAAATGAGCACTTAACTCTTGCAGTGCGGGGTAGCCCCACTGCAAGGGTTAAGAATAATTATGCCTGGAGCATAAATCTAAGCATAATTTTTGTGAAGTTTTGAAACCTTTAAAGGAAAGGTGTCCCCTCCCCCTTCATTGCAAGCCTTGTAATAAAATGCTTATCTTCAGCCTTTTTGAGACCTGCACTGTATGGTCTTGCACAGGCTATGCACGAAAGAAGTCTTGGCTGGGCCCTGCGCACAGTGCACATATAAATTGTGCACTCATTCATTCATATGGCAGGTTTGTACACATAGGGGACACAGCCATCCAGAGAAGTATGAACCAGTCCCAGAAATGAATTAGGCTTTGTGTAGTAGATTCAGGGCCCAGCAAGGATTTTTTTAGTGCAAATACTGTGCCACAATGGCATGGCCACAAAGGAGCTATGATATTAGGTAGTGGTGTTGAGATTTTGTATTTTATGATGCAAGTTGCACTGAGGGCAACTTCACTAAAAGTAAAGTTGTCATTTAACTGTCCTTAATCCCCGCAAATGAAAGCTGGGCTCCGCCCAGTTGTAATGACAGATCAGCGTCCCCAAATGACCTGGGTGCACTGATCTGTCATTAAACAATAACAACTGGCTGGAGCAGCTGGCCAATAGGAAACAGTTGGGCAGAGCTAGCTGTCACTGCTAGCTCCGCCCCAATTTTTTTATTTTGTTTTGTTTTTCTTTTTCTTTAAAAAAAATCTTTATTTTTTCATTTTAGTATTATTTTACATTTTAAAAAATATTTTTGAACCTTTTTTTCCCCAACTTTTTTCACTATTTTCTATTCTGCTTGGTACCACGGAGGTACCGAGTAGAGTAACCGCTCGGCTGCATTCGGCTATCCACTCACTCACGGCCCCTATGTGAAAAGGGGCGAATGGCAGCGGGTGAGCTGCCTGAGCTTTTGGCTCAGCCGATCCAGATGTTGGATGAGCTGAGTCGAAGTCCTTCTGCACTTCGGCTGACTGAAGGCAGCCGATGTACGGCTGATTTCAGCCGATGTATGGTTGAAATCAGCCGTACAAGCCAGAAGTGAATAGCCGAACATAGTTCAACACACTTCCGTTCGGCAGGAATATTCACTTTGTGAATAACCCCTTGAGTTTGTATGGGACCTTGAGCTATGTGCAAATTTCTGGGAAAAGCATTGAACAGCAAAAATTAGATTCCTGGGGGTGTTCCGTACACAAACATAATGGCCCCAGTTTACCATAGTTGCAAGGAAGCAACATTTGAATTTTATGCCATTGTTTTTGGAAAATCATAAATGAGCTAAGATTGAAATGGAAAAAGTTAGTTTGATAATATCAAATATAAAAGTCAAAATGTAGCAGTTCTCTTACAGTATGTCAATCTTTAGCAAAAGTAGAGTTTTCCTTCAGCCACATTTGCTGCTCGTTTAACATTTGTGTTTTGAGTACCTGTAATAAATGCTGATCATACATTGTTGTGCAGTGTGATGTAATGGTCAATTATGTGATTTAACATGTTTTTTTTTTGCACAGGTATAAAATTTCACATGATATCATCTTATTTTTGTGCACACAATTTAAGGTATATAGGCTTGAAAAAGACACACAAATTGACTTCTAGTTCTTTTTAAAAATGACATTTGTCCTTAAGGCAGATTATGGGTTTTTGTCAGGCAACTGACATCCTGAAAAGATTAGTAGGCCATATTACTAACTCCCAGAATATGATTTTCCTTATCTTTTAATATCCTGCAAATCAATTCAAAAAACATATACTGTGACAGGCTTGTTTTCCTATATCTAGGTTAGAAACATGAAAAAAAAACATTGATCCTTGAATGCAGCATCTTCATGAAAATCTGCAGGTGCCAAAGTAGGGCAAAAGCAGCAATGTTTACTGTGATCAGAATAGCGATAGGTGTAATTAAATATTTCATGTTAAAGAATTACGGACTTTTAAAGGGTCAGTCGACCCAAAAGTGTTATTTTAGTTTTAAGTGGAGCCTGCTGGGCTGAGTCAACCCCTGGCTTTCTATGTATGTTGAATACTCCAGCAATGAGACCTCCCTGTCCTTTTATATTTTGATAGTTCATCAAGTTAGTTCATTACTTTCATCATAATATAAAATTAAGAGAAATCCAAAAAGAAGAATGGGACACATAATAATTGCCACAGCAGCTGTGCAGATCGTCTCAGGAAATAAAGTTTAAACATGTCACTAATCGTCCGGTGGGTTTTATGCTTTAGCATCTAGCAAAAGATAAAATAAATCAGTTTTGCATGGAATTAAATTGCTTTATTTGATTTTGAACATTTTGTATTAACATTTTACATAGTTAGGACTTTTTGTATGGGCTGCACCCTTTTCCCCTCACCCTCTACATTGCCAGCCTACAATCACAAAATGAAATGTTGCATGATCTGTCACTGGCAGCATGTTGTCTGTTTTTTTTTTTTAAAACAGTAAGACCCACTTAATGTGTAGGTCAACTTTTTCAGTCAATTTCTAGAGACTATATGAGACTATATATATATACCCCCCACTATATGTTTATGTGTCCCATTCACACCACCCAAGCCTTGAGATCTTTAAACCTGTGTTAGGACAGACAGTGTTCAAACCTAGTTTTCAACCGATAATGGGTTGTGCTGTGTTATGCTATGTGAATAGAAACTTGAAACAAACAAAAAAAATAGGTGCAATCCTAATTTGGCTGCAAAAGTGGAAATACACTATACAGGTAAACATTGCTATAATAACTCTAAAAATATAATTTACAAGATCTCTGCTTTCATTTCATAATGTGTGTTTTAGTGCTAGCGTAGATGAGTGTTTTAGATGCATTGCCCTTCAAATACGTTGCTGGATTTAACCATATTTGACTAGAAGCAGTCATGCAAGGTAAAAAACACACTTTGTAAATGTTATCCTCCTAATCTGCTGCTAAGGCAATAGCCTAGAGGAGCCTTGTGATAAATATGGCCCTGACTGAAACTGTATGTAACCGCTTTTATTGTACAAGGAAATGCTTTCTATCAACTTTACAAACCTTGTTTACTCAGCAACTGTTACAAACTATTCAAGAGGTTTTCACTTCCTTTTCTTTAGGTAGTTTTAGCATTTTGTAATTTTTCTTGCATGTATGCCT